TAGGTAATACTCTATATATATATATATTATTGACCCTGTAGTGTGCCTACCATTACAAAAAATATACTTCCAATTTACTAGTCTATTAAGACACGATTTTATGTACCTTTTCACAGATGAAGAAGGTTGTGGCATTCAATGATATTTAATTACTAATTGAAGCAAAGTAATGAGTTTTGTGTTTGAATGAAGGGAAGGCGAACAACCAATGATGCTTCATTCATTCATTGAAACTTGATCACTACATGATACATGATGCCCTTTGAATATAGGATTTTGGCAAACTTTAAATATCAAGAATTGACTAGAGTAGCCTGATGATACAGTTCATCTTTATGGTGATGGGATGAACCACTGCATAATCTAATAACATAAAGTCATCAGAAGGGCAACACATAGTAGCGTAATAAAAAAGTACATTCGAATTATTTTATTTTTTGTCGCTATTTGATTTTGTACTTTTGCTCCGAGCCATTCATCTCTCCGCATATAAAATAAAAGTAAGATATGCCAGATCTTACGAATGGCATTTTCTAATTCGCAATGGTAATAAAAATGCACAATGAATCCAGATTTCCTTCTGTAATCCTGATTTATTGAGGAGAATAAATAGATTCGGGGGGTGATTTATGAAAGGAATATGCCACTGACGAAATGTTTTTAAATCGACCATTTAAAAACCTTAGAAAAAGCTTCCCGTGGCCACAAGGGCAATAAAATCTATTTCACTTTCATATATTCAGTGAAAGGTATATTTTTTTTTAACTTTTCTCCTTATTTTATTCCCGGAATGCTTTTCCCGTCCGCGAAGATAAACTTCCTTCTGCTTTGTTCGATCTCCCAACAACTATCTCATGACAATTAAATTGGGAGAAAAAAACAAACAAAATTCTTTAAATGACATTCCCCGACCAAATTATTAGACGCATTGTAAGATTCTTTGCAAAATCTTAATGATCAGGTGATACTCTATACAGCTTTATTGTTTTTAATGTGACTGTCTGCACTTGTTTACGTTACGTGTATCTGTTACCGGCAAAGTATGAAATAAATGTCCTGATGAGGTTATTATGTAAATGATGTGCATGTTACTGTGAATGACCGTAATCGGTGATTGTTGACTTTCACCGGTGAATGTAGAAAATCCCGTAGTCGCTATGGTGAATGTCCGAAATATTTATTACATCCGATTTCATAGTAATTTATTCGTGTATATAATTACATTTATTCGATATTTTAATACTTACTGACGATAGATTAGAACAAACATCAGTGTTTGGAGTATCGGGCAAGTATATACCGGGCAATGGAACTTGACCTTAAAAAAAACATCAGTGCAGGGTATACCGGGTAGTGGCACTGAACCTTAAGAGAACTTCAGTGTGGGATATACCGGGCAATGGCACTTAACTAGACCTAGCATGACTAGACCTTTGATAAATGTCCGTAATATATATTAGGTCTAGTTAATCTATCGTCAGTAATTATTAAAAGATCGAATAAATGTAATTATATTCACGAATAAATTAATATAAAATTGGATGTAATAAACATTTCGGACATTCACCAAAGCCACTATGTGATTGTCAACATTCACCGGTGAAAGTCAACAACCACCGATTTCGGTCATTCACAGTAACATGCACATCATTTACATAATGACCTCATCAGGACATTTATTTCATACTTTGCCTAAATAGCATCCGGCATTCTATAGAATGCCTAGGCAATATGTGAAATATAAATAATTTCATACTTTGACGGCTAGTTTTAGGCATTCTATATAATGCCGGATTTCATATTTTTCCGATAACATATTCATTGCTTAAATGAGACGATATATCATATAAATTTGACGATAGGATAAAAGAGACGATATATTACATAAATATACGATATTTAGTAATATCAGGACTTGTATTAGCATGTTATAATAATGAGATCCAATGATGAAACGCACTGTGGTGTTTTAATAATGACATAATTGGCACGAATTTATAGGTAATACTCTTACATTTAGACATACATGTCAAGGGTTTTATTTCAGGTGATTTTTTATAGACTTCCTATTTGTATTTATGTTTAACGTATTGCATGGCAATGTTAACCCATTGGTGCACGAACGTAAACAAGTGCAAACCACGTAAAAACTATAAAGTTGTAAAGTATCACCTGATTTCACCAAAATTTCTCATAGAATCTTATAGTACGTGGCCAGGGACTTAAGAAAATATTGATTTGCATACATTCTGCAATTTTGAACGGGTGTGAACGTTCCTGAAAAGTATCGCTTTTTTGTGTTGTTTTCTTTAAAATTAACTGTCGAGGAAACCTTCTTTAACAGTAGTTATCAACTGGAGGCGTCCAGCTCGTGAAGTTTGTTTTTTGTTTCCCGCGAACTAAAATATATGAGTTGTCATTATTTGGGGGGACCATTTTCGTAAAAAATCTATATGGATTTAAAATACTTTTCTTTCGTTAAAAAAAAACCCTAATTTCTTCGTTTTTGTGAAACTTAGCATACCAATCAATATCAATATCTTAACAATTTGATATACACATTAATTGTTCAATACATTGGTGCACATTAAAGCTACTGAAACCAGAATTTTTTAATACGCAATTGGATATATTTCAAAAATCAACTTGTTATTTTAATTTGTAATTCAATACTTTTGTTTTGTTCAACGTGATAAAAATCTGACAGTCATATTTAAAGCTCCTTCAAACCTATGAAAAATTTTGATAAAGAGTCCTATGCAAAATGCTGATAAAGTTGCGGCCCTCCATTTTAATTGCGACCCCCGACCTCGTGGAAACCCCTGTTCTACATAAAGGCTTTGAAAATAGATCAAAACTGTCTGAAAATGTATCGTTCGGAAGGAGTTGTCAATTTTAGCATTTTTAAAAATTGGAAAATATCAGATTTTGTAAAGGATACTGAGCAAAAGCTACTCAATTTAAATATATATATATCAATTTTGAAACATTGAATACTCAATATTATCTGAAAAAAGTTATCCGAGACAAAATTCTTACGAAAAAAGAGAGAACGATTTTAACTGTTACGATTTATGAAAATGAATAAACTTGTTAAACATAAGTTTAAAAACTATAGAATAGAATTTACAAATATATAGAGCAAAAATTACGTAATAGAAATAACTTTATTTTAAAAAAATAATTGTACATAATTTGAAATATTGAGCATAATAAATTCAAAATTCTTCGCAACTTAACAATCTACCGTCCTAACGTCATTTTTTTATTTTCAAAATGGACATTTTCTAAAAATATCTATTTTCTAAAAATCGAGAGGATATTAAAAACGTCTATTTTCTGGAAATAAGGAGTTCCTAAAAATGTCTCTTCGTAAAATAGATAGTCCTTAAAAAATTCTATATTTTTAAAACAGAAAGTAAATAAAAATTGGCTATATTCTTAAAATAGAGTTCCTAAAAGTGTCGATTTTGTTAAAATAGAGATCCTAAAAATATTTATATTCTCAAAACAGAGAGATTCTCCTTTTTCAATAAAAGTTTAAATGGGTTTTTAAAAAATACGATTTTTGAGCCATTTAATAGTGAAGCATGACTGAGAATGCACTGAATAGTAACAAATTAATCCCGGCAGCTGAAGTTAGTTTTTCTGATTATTCTAAACAAAAAACAACAGTTCATTTTTAATTTTTTTTCTTACTTTAGAGTTTGCATGCTTCTTTTTTTCCCTAAATTTGATTCGATTTTTATTTTCAGACAGTTTTATTTTCTTATCGGAATTGTCCCGAAACAAACTTCTGTTTACGTCATTCGTTCGGATTTTGTTCAATATTCTTCTAGAGGAAGTTGCCTTCTAAGGTTAATTAAGTTGAGAGAAGAAAAAAAAACATTTAATCGTGCAAAAAGCAGGAGAAAGGCTGGAAAAAGTATCCTATCTCACAGCTCTGCATTTATTCCTCCGATTGAAAATTTTAATGTTTGTGACATTCTTTTAAATGAAAGTTTTCTTACTTTTAGATGCATTATGGACAAAAATTTCAATAAGTTTTGAGACACGAATATTGAAAATTCAAAAATCTTTAAAAAATCCTTTGAGTGATGGTGAGAAATACACTCTCTGCCCATATTATTCAAAGCACTCTAAGATTTTATGTAAAATTATAATTACTCAGGATAGATACAGCTGTATTGTTTTTACTCGGATTCATTTGTTCGCGGCTCCTCTATCAATGGGTTAACATTGTCATGCAATACGTCAAAAATAAATACAAATGGGAAGTCTATAAAATATCTCCCGAATAACAACCCATGTGTTTAACTATAAAAATATTGTGTATATAAACTCTTGCAAAACATGTCATTCTTAAAACAGCTTCTCATCATTGGATCTCATTATTATGACATACTGATGTTAATAACTGATATAATAATTATTCCATATTTATATAATATATCCTTTAATTTATCCAATTGTCGAATTTATATTATATATTTTTCAATTTCACCAAATTCATACATGAACGTAAACAAGTGCAAACCGGTTTAAGTCACACAAAAAACAATAAAGCTGTATAGAGTATCATCTGATAGTTTTACATAGACTGTTACAGTTTGTTTAATAATTTGGTCAGGGGCTGTATACAAGACATGAAATATAACAAAATTGATATTGAAATAAGGTGCTCAAAAATTACTTTTTTTTTTAAAAAAGAACTTACTCATTTCTTAGTTGCAAATGTATAGTTTGTAATTCCAACCTTGAGTCTAGAAAAAAAAAGAGCAATTATTTAATAATACTAAACACAATTTAGAAGTACATATTACTTTTATGAGTAGCATGATGTATTAAATAAAACGAGTGCCTTGCTTTCAAATAGTATCTTTTTTTTTATTGTATTCTGCATTCTAAAATGTATTGCTATATTTTCATAAAGTTTGATAACATAAAAAAAAATATAGCGGAGAAATAAATATAAAATTGTGACTTTCTCAGAAATTGATCTGAAGTTTTCTTTTTAAATTCATAAAAAATTAAAATCATGTGAAAAAAAAATTAAAAGAGAATATATGTGTGCTTCTTTAATGTAAAGTGTAGTATTCATAATAGTGGTGAAATATTAGGCATAAAGAAAAAAAAAATTCACTAGAAAATTTTTTTTATCTTTTATATGTAAAATTGCCGGCAAAAGATATTATAACGTTTTGATTTTTGACATAAAAAAATTTCTGAAGATATAAAATGATAATCGCAAGTATTCCGAAGATACATTTAATGCAAAATAGACTAAAGCTAAAAACAACATATAAATAAAGTATTAAAAAAAACATTTTAACCGTACTTTATATGTGCTTTTCTCCAGTTTTTTTAATTTTGATTTGTAAAGGATAGTTTTTTTTAAAAAGAAAGTACAACATTTTAATGTTTACTGTAAGAGAAAGCAAGGAAAATATATTCAAAGCAAGTCCTGTTCAACATCTCTTCCTTTTTTGGATGGGGAGAGAGTGAATTGAATTTCTTCTTGACATGATGTTTTTTACGCAGAATTGTATCAGACGATCGGGTTAATAATTTAAAAGCGTATTTTGAAGTACGCATCAGATATTGCCATTGTTTCATTCTGAATCGGATAACAAGTCAATAGAAGAAACGGTTCAGTCCCTCGACACATTATTAAACGCACTCTAAGATTCTATGTATTATCTTAATCATCACGTGATACTCTATACAGCTGTACGAGTAAAAACAATAAAAGCTGTATAGAGTATCCCCTGACAATGAAGATTTTGCATAGAATCTTAGAGTGTATCTATACTTATCAAACTTCATTAAAATCGGTCCGGTAATTCTAGAACAGTGATTTCCAACTGGCGGCCCGGGGGCTGCATCCCGCCCGTGAAGCCTTTTCTTGTGGCTCTCGAACTAAAATATATTAGTTGTCATTTTTTTGCAGACAATTTTCGTAGAAAATCTATTTGGGTTCAAAATACTTTTCTCGTTAATAAAAACCTAATTTCTTCGTTTCTGTGAAATTTATCATACCAACGGTGCAAAAAAAAATATTTCTCAGGCTTTGCATCCAAGAAAATATTTGTTTAAATACAAAAATAATCGTGTATGTTGCTCTTTTTTATTTCATTTTTTTGTATTTTGTGAGTATAATTTAGCATGTGTGTATCAGAAATTTTCTCGAAGAAATTCTCCTATTTAACTTCTTAAAACCACTTATTTTGGACGAAAATATTTTCACACACATTTATAAATTTTAAATTTAAAATGTAAATATCTATTCTTTGGTGGTTGCAGCAGACAAACCTCAATTTTATCATTGAACAACTTGTGTGCTGCTATGTAAGTTTTAATACCAACCCTTTTAAAGTTTTATATCTTAACAATTAGATATCTGTTGCACATTAATTGTTTAATACATGAGTGCACATTAAAGTTATTGTAGCCGGATTTTTTTATATGCAATTAAATATTTTTAAAAATCTACTTCTTATTTTAATTTGTAATTCAATACTTTTGTTTCGCACAATTTGATAAAAATCTGACTGTCATATTTAATGTTCCTTCAAACATAAAAGAGTCCTACATAAAATTTTGATAAAGTTGCGGCCCGCCATTTGATTTGTGTTTTTAATTGTGGCCTCATGTAAGTTGGAAACCCCTGTTCTAGAAACAATCGACCCAGTCTGCAAATTCTCTTCATTTCCTACACCAGGGTGTATATTTTTTTCAAAAAAATGGAACATTTTTGTAAAAAAAAAAAAAAAAAATATTTTTAGATTTTGTAAGTGAATTGCGCGCATTAAAGAAAAAATGCATTGTTTTGAAATGTGGAAAAAAGCATTATGAAAACGGAAAATATTTTGTCTTTCTTTTGACTACATTAAATAGTCATTAAAAACAGCAACAAAAAAAAAGGAATTGTAAATAAGGCTCTAAAATGAATCAGTATTAAATCGAATTACTTTGTCACGCGCACATTTATCTTCTATAATTGGAGCGAAATAATCTGTAGTCGAAGTGACAGAATCCATTGTTTTAAAACGAACATCTTTTAAAAATGTTTCGAGACAAGCACAAAAAATAAATAAAAAGAAAAAAGAAGAAACTAGAGGAAGCTTCGTTATTAATAAACTTTGGGGGAAGCGAGACGTTAATTATTCTAGCGTAGATTTTAATTAGCTGAACAACAACTGTTGCTACGTTCACTGGGCGTTGTTTTTCCTCGTAAACAAGTTCCATACTCGACGTTTTCGGGGTTATTTTAATGGTTACATTGAGCGGTCAATATTTCCGCTCAATAAACGTTAAATAATGAATAAATGATTTAAATTTAAGAGAGTTTAAGCACTTTCCTACTTTTAAAGAATAGGAAGACGAGTGTTAATAACTTTTTTTTTTAAAAAAAAGGATAAAAAGACATTTTCAAAACTTTTAAATGACAGTAATTCGTAGTTTTTATAAAAACACGATGAAAAGAAATTCTAAATTTTGAACAACTTGCAGGTGTGGCATTAATATCTTCTACATATATACACTCTATAACAAAAAAATCGAAGCACCAAAAAGGAGTTGTCCGATTGAAACGAAAATTGGTGGATAGGAAGACAATGTTCAGAATAGTAAATGATTAAAATTTCAGAACAATTGAATAATTTATTGCAGAGTTACAGTAACAAGTTCAATAAGGTGTTGACCCGCCTCTATCCTGGATACAAGCTGCCACACGGCGTGGCGTAGACCGATAAAGCTCCCGGATCGTGTCTTGCGGTATTTCCTACCAAATTCGATCCAATTGTCGAACGAGGTCATCAGCATTCCGTGCCAGATGCAATCACCTTCCCAGACATGCTCGATGGGAGAGAGATCTGGTGATCTGGCAGGCCAAGGAAGAGTTTGACAAGCATGCAGACTGTTCATAGCAACACGTGCCGTATGTGGTCTGGCATTATCCTGCTGAAAAACCAGCCCAGGGCTCTGCAAAAGGAACGGTAGCAAAACAGGTCTTAGGATGTCGTCGACGTACCGCTGTGCAGTAAGTGTACCTCTAATGACGACCAAAGGGGTCCGGCTGTCAAAGGAAATGGCATCCAGACCATAATGCCTTGTTGAGGGCCAGTGTGGAGCGCAATAGTGAAGGCAGGATCCTCCCTCTGCCCTGTGCGTCTCCAAACGCGTCTTCGATGATCGTCAGGACACAGTCGGAAGCGGGATTCGTCGCTAAGGACTATACGTCCCCAGTCGGCATCATTCCAGCCTGATCTATTCAAAACATTCATGCATACGAAATTTCAAAGCAATCTATTGATTGCTTCTTGGTGCGTCGATTTTTTTGTTACAGAGTGTAATATAGGAATCCAAATTTTGAGCAGTTTGACCAGTTTTACCGCGTTAAAAGTATAATAATGCGAGGAAGATTTCGAAATTTTACCTATTTGGAATAATCTTTTTTTTTTTTTCGTTCTGTAGAGTGAGCACGATACATGCAAATGTTTCCTGTACTGCAACTTCAGCTGCTGTGGTTTCACATCTGAAGAAGGATGGAAATTATATTACTCCGCTCGGGCCCTTCTGACTGTTGTTTCACTTACATGAATGCTCAATCTTCATTTAATCATCTCATTTCTGTCCTTTACTGCATTGTAGTACATGGCAACAGTCCTCTTTCTTGCCCGTCAGGTTGTGTGACAAGGAGTGCCGTGTTCTCATTTCAACCATTAATTATTTGGATGTGTGTGATTTCATACTAAACAGAGTCATTTTAAAATGACTTTTCATGACAAGTCACACAGGACCGGGAAAGAAGGACTCGCGGTCGTGAGAATGGGAGTTCGAATCCAGTCAGCCGAGGATTCCCCGTGTAGAAAAAGGTGACTGGTGCACGTTAAATCTGCCGGGTCACAAGGTCCTCCATGCTCCCATGACGCATTATACATCTGGGGGTACTGAATAGGAGGTCGATCGTTCACTGGCTAAGGTCAAAATTACGATTTTTGAATGAATGAAGGGGTCCGCTCTATAAGCGGGTGTGACGTATATGTGCAATAGAAATCAAATTTTCTGTCATAGAACCGGAAAACAAGAACAACCCTGCGACAACAAAATTGCTACCAAATATATAATTTAGCAGAACCTGAAATATCAATATATCGACGACCTTTATACTTCAGACCACGAAATTCGAATTTAGTTTCTGAGGGTTACTTAGGGGTGTAGTTAGGCTAGAACTTAGCCTCTTTCACGCATATCTCTTTTTGAACATGATTATAGACTAAAGGGATATTTAAGAATGCATTCCGCTGGTCATGGTAGGTTCCAATATTTCGAGGACATTGAGAAGATGGTTGTCAAATGACCGTTTAAGAACTTTTGCATCTTATCGCTTTTGCACATTTGACTTCTTGACTTTTTCTAACAGTTATATGCAGTTAGTATTCTATTATTATTATTTTTTTGTATTTTGTTTGTTTGGAATAACCTATTTCTACCACAAGCGGTCATTTGACCGGGAGAACAATGTATTACTTCATAAGGTTATCGGATCAGAAATGACGATGTGATGCGTGTTCAACGTATTGCATTCGATGAATTGCACATTTCTGCAAAGACTGTTGCGTAGTGAGTTCAATCAGAATAACTGTGAATTCAAATTTCAAGACATTTCCTAACATTTTAGATTGACATTTTTGTGTCAGAAAAAATGACAGAAACTAAATGTTTTGGTCAGTAGCTTATATTTTATTTGGATAGCTTTACT